CATAGCATTAAGTACTAGGGCAGAAAACTCACTACTAGACTGGATCCCAATTGATAGTCGCCTCTGCGCTATGAGGCTGAACGGCTCAGTAAGAACTAAAAGGAATAGGGAGACTCGCCGTTGTCTCTTTGTAATCTCTGCTTACTCACCCAGTGACTGCAGCTCGGATGAAGTAAAGGACGAGTTCTACCGAAAACTTTCTAGCTTTCTTTCGAAAGCCAAAAGTTCAGACGTGGTGGTTGCTGCAGATGATTTCAATGCACAAGTGGGTAGACTGTGTGAGACAGAAAGGCACATAGGTGGCACTTCCGGAAGCCCAGTTAAGCGAAAACTGCTTAGATAATCGCTTATTTTTAGCTAGCACAAATTTCAGACATAAAGAAAGACACTGCCTAACATGGCGTTCACCGAGCTCAACATACCGATGGACAACGAAATACCGCTTTCAGTGAGAAATTGGCTAGGCAGTTGTCGGAACAGAACACTATCACTCACCCAAGAGAAGCTTAGTGTCATCTCTAGTCTACTGTAAAAGCAGCGCTGAAGACAGTAGCCGACTACAAAATAGTGGCTAAAAAGAGCCAGTGGATATCAGCAGGAGGGACGACTGAAACGATGGGCAGAACACTTCGAGAAGCAGTTTAACTGGCCTCCAGCCACGATTGTGTTGCCCGCTATCCAGTCGGATCCTGAATAGGATATAGAGACAGGCCCCCCAACACTTGCAGAAGTCAAGAAAGGTGTAGGTAACCTGAAACGAGGAAGGGCAGCAGGACCAGACGGACTAACCCCTGAGGTATACAAGAATGGTGGTAGAGTGCTCTTAGTCAGGTTAACAGAAGTCTTAACTAGTATACGAAAATCAAATACGATCCCCTCTGACTGGTCTAAGTCACTCATTATCCCAGTCTTCAAGAAAGGCGAGAAGTCCTCTTGTGATAACCACAGAGGAATCAGCCTGACGAACATAGTATCTAAAATCCTAGGTTCTATAATTCTTCGACGCCTGAGTGGAGCTTGGGAACAGCAAGCCCGAGAAAACCAGGCAGGATTTAGACCTGGCCGCCGGTGTATCGACCAAATATTCACGCTGCGCCAGGTCCTGGAACATAGGCATGCTTACAGGAGCCCGACAATAGCTGTATTTCTCGACCTGAAGGCGGCATTTGACTCCGTTGATCGGGAAGTCTTATGGCAATGTCTGTTACTGAAAGGCGTGCCTAGTAAGTACATCACCTTATTGAAAGCTCTTTACTCGAACACTTGTGGGCATGTTAGAGCCTATGGCGAGTTGTCCAGGGAGCTATACTCATCAAGTGGTGTCCGTCAAAGATTCCCACTCTCTCCATTCTTATTTAATTTTATCATAGATATTCTTATGGAGGTTTCCCTCTCGTCACCTAATTACACAGACGTTGACCTAATCGGTGGAGAATTTTCGCTAGATCTAGGATATGCAGATGACATAGTTCTGTTAAGTGAAGACGCTGACAAGATGCAGAGTCTTCTGAACACTTCGAGTAGCAATTTGAGAATGTTTGGGATGCGATTTTCACCACTCAAATGCAAATTTTTGCTCCAGGACTGGTCTTCAGCTGTACCGCGGCTAACAATAGAGAGTGAAGTGGTTGAGTGTGTTAACCACTTCACTTACCTGGGAAGTAGGATCAGCCCTGGTGGGTCAGTTGCCGATGAAATCTCTGCACGGATACAAAAGGCTCGATTGGTTTTTGCCAATCTATTCCACCTATGGCGCCGCCGTGACATCCGTTTGTCTATTAAGGGTCGCATGTACTGCACAGCAGTCCCCTCTGTTCTACTGTATGGCTGTGAAACATGGCCATTGAAAGTGGAAGATATAAGGAGGCTTCAAGTGTTTGACCACCGTTGCCTTCGTAGTATAGGACGTATTCCGTGGTGTCACCCACCACGTGAGTAATGCAGAAGTCAGGTGTAGAGTTTTGGGGGGTGGGAGCAGAGGTAAATCAGTAGACCAGGTTATAAACCTTCATCGATTGAGATGGTTGAGACACGTACTACGTATGCCTAGTCACCGATTGCCTCGTCACACAATGTTGGCCGAAGTAGGTTCAGGCTAAAAAATGGCTCGAGGCGGCCAGACTAAAACATTGCATCAATGTATGAAGTGTTTGTTGATCTGAGACATGTGGGGCGATGCAGATTAGGTGGTTGGGGTCCGCGGGACCAGAGAAACTAGTGGTTGGAGACCCTAGCTGATATGGCTCAGAACCGAAGTCAGTGGCGCAGATGTATACACACATTATCCTCATCTTAACAACTCTATACCGAATCTCACCATTTTGTCACTCCTCTTTCTTTTCTTCTCGTACTTTATATTTCTTTTGACTGCATTCACTTATCTTCATCCTTCACCTCACTACCTTTCTACTTGATGAACTGACGTGAGGTGTGGCAACTCGGACCGTTACGCAGTAATGCCTGGTCCTATGTTGATTTGGATGGATGGATGGAGTCCACTACATATTCACATAAACTATTATATGTATATATTCATACCTACTGGTGGGACTAACCATAATTCTGAGCTGGCAACGTGGTGGGACTACTGTGACTCATGCGAAATATAACATTGTAGAAAACGCGTTTAAGTGCGCATACCATTGAGTGAGGCTTCTAATCAGCATCCGCTTATGCGGTTAGGATATATTACACAAATTCTATGGAACCATTCACCCCAGTGCATAACCTTAGCAGAAGTCGGTCAATATCAAAGTGGGGAGCGGCAGTACTGCGTAACGGTTCAAATTCTCGTAGCTTACACAAAACACCGAGGTAACTAGTTCACTAATTACTAGCCAGTCCTAAGCCCGCATAAAGAGGGAAGGTTGGGCATATGGCTAGCAACCCTACCCCGTAAAACCAATCTAACCGCTAAAGAAACTTCAAAGCACAAAGAAAATATAGAACACAAAACTAAACTTATTCCTCACTGGGATCGGAAAGGCGAAATGACGCCAGTTGGTGAAAGCATTGGGGAAGCCAATTGGTCGATGTATCTTCGCTTCTCTCCATGAAGGCAAAAGTAAGCATAGGGACATGGAATGTCCCAACAATTTTTAAAGCTGGCTGGCAAGGCTGCCCAGATTGCCAAAAACATGAAAAGGTGCAGCAGGGAAGTGCTAGAAATCTGCAAAAGCAGATGGAATGCAACTGGACTCTACAAACTGTCAGCTGCAGAGTTAATAATCTACCCGATATTCTAACCCAGATGAAAACCACGACCACACCACACTGAGTTATGGGGTGGCTATCCTGAAATCCCTAACAGCATCGAAGGCTTTCTCTCATGCACTGGAAAACAATCACCTACAAGATAATGACAGTAAGATTCAACTCAAAAGGAAGGAAAGTCACAATCATTCATTGCTACGCTACACACCTACAAATAATGCAGATCAGGAGAAGAAGGAAGAATTCTGCAGACAACTGCAATCAATAACAGTCAAGACCGCACACCACTTGGCGACATCGAAATTCGAATGGTTGGGGTGACATGATTGACAAACTAGGGGCAGACAACACAGGTGGAGAACTCATCATGGGTCAAGAGGCACTCGGTGAATTGAATGAGAATGAAGAACTATTTGCAGACTTCTACGCATTTAATGATTTGGTGATTGGAGGCAGTGTGTACAAACACAAGGATATTCACAAGGCAGCGACATGGATTTGATTTCACCAGATCAACACACTACACTAAAAATCAGATCGACTTCATCTCAATGTGAAGAAAGTGGAGACGCAGCCTACTGGACACAAGATCAGATCAAGAAGGGGAGCAGATGTAGGTTCACACCACTCACTGTCCAGTGCAACGAACCTACCTTCAAAATCAAGTTGAAAGCCTTCAAAGAAGTTGGTGATAGACCACAATTGAAGTTCAACACCCAGGACACAAACTGAACTGGAGGACGAAACTACAAAGGACATCTTCATGTCAGTTAGGCATCAGGACAAAATGGGAGATATTAAGCAACATCCCTGAAGAAACCTGTGTGGAAGAACACCGGAACTCTGTGAAAGAGATGTGGAAGGAAACCAGCATAGCCGTGTTACGAAGGAAGAAGAAGAAGAAGAAGAAGCAAGGCAAGGAATGGTATGGATCTCGACGGACACATGGAAGCTGATAGAGAAGGGAGAGATAGAGGAAGATGGTGAAGCAGAAGATGAACAACTGCAGTGCAATGCAGGGATGATCAACGAAAACAGGAACTAAACACAACCTATAAAACACCACATTTGACAAAGAAGTGAAGAAGAGTGCGCCCAAACACAAAAGACACTTCTACAACACACTTGCAACTGAAGCAGAACAGGCTGCAGGTAGGAGAGACAGAGACCTGACAACACTATATCAAATAACCAAGTTTACACTTTCATATAGTAGTACATAACTAACGGATGATCCCGCAATAAATTTCAACACAATGTAAAAACAAATAAATGAAAAATATGATCAATCTACTTAGCCGCGAATTCCGGCATGAGAATAAAACCACCTTTTATCAAGAAAGTTATTTATGTATTTACTCTTTTAGTCGCTGAGCTTGAAAAATTTTGTGACCAGAGAGAATAACGACAAACTACAAGAATTTTCTGAAATATCACAATCCAGCTATATATCTGTGCATAGTTCTTGTGAATTGAAATGCTTCAGAGTTGCACACAGACCTAGTCCCAGTAAGTTACTGAACTATTACCCCTAAACATGTTCTGCTCAATTTGTTAGAAATTACAAGAACGAATTATTTGCAGGTAAGACAACTAGTGGAAATCAGGTTCTAAGGAACTTAGTCAAACAAGAACAAGTTTCTGTTTGAAAAAGCTGACCTTTGAAATCAGGAAGACATCCCGAATAACTGTAGGCTTCAGAGCTTACATTAACTTGCTGCAGCTCCAAGTCTACATATCTGTACTCATTTGTTATGCAAATACCCAAATTTTAGAAAGACACACACCTGGATACGAATCACTTCTACAAAGTTGGTACCATAGGCGCGCTTTGTAAAGTCTGCAACATTGAAGTACACATTGTTCCAATCAGCTTCTAAACGCAGAGGCATAGTACATATAAACGGTTTCACTCGCGTCGTGCTTTGATAATTGCTAGCCCTGAAACGTCTTTTCACGCCCTGATCGTCCAAAATCTTGAAATCAACTACGTAACCGACAATATAATATACCTGAATTTCGAAGGTGAAATATTTATTAAGGTTCTTCACTATCAAAACGAGGAAAGGTAGCTTGATGCCTAGTGCTTTCCTTGGGTCCGCTGGACACGAAATGTATGTACTTCTAAATGAAATAAGAAAGAGATAATTCAGGAGACCATACGAAACATTGCTTCCCAACAATTCTAAGACCAAAGATTGGATATCATTGTCTGTAATCCTTTTTATATGTCCATTACGAACCTAGTTATATTAAGATTTTTGATTATTTGTGAAACCAATAAAGCGAACTTTTTTGTCCCAAATTTGCAAGGGTTTAGTCCCAACACTGAATAGAATGGATAAGAAACCACTCTGGAATGTATTTCTAAACATTATGTAACGCTTGCTTCGTTTACGCGCTTTTTAGCTCCAGCTCAGTGCATCGAAATAAACTTCAACTTCATGTTGTAGAATTGGTGGACGGTGGTTCCTTGAGTTATACATCTGTTTTATTAGGATAAACTCTTGGTTTGGATCGGTTGCAATTGTCTTCTTGGTTCCGAGAAACCTGAAAGGATAGAAATATTTGCTTATTAATAAATCTGGTCACAGTAGGTAGCATTACTCCCCCTGATCTGTAAACGACTGAAAGCTTCTCGAGTGCAACCTATCGGTGCTACAAGACTCTAGATGTGAATCTTAACTCCTTTTGAAAGTACCAGATGATAGGAATGTAACAACGTCTGAAGGAACAGAGTTCCACAGTTTACAAGCTCTAACTGCAGACGAGTTAACACGGACCTTGGTACTTGCTCCCTCATACTCTACCCTTAACGGGTGGCCCCCTAGGGTGGTGGTTCTGATCATAGCTTGAAAAGAATCAGCTAGGGCGATGAGGATTACGGGCAATGTGATACATCATGCATATTTCCCCCTCTGGTCCTCCAGTATTGTACTGGGTTCAGCATAAAAGCAACCAGGCGATCCAGGTAAGGTTTGTACCCTAACCAAGTCACCATCATCGTAGCTCTTATGTGAACCCACTCTACGATCGCTGTGTCCTGCTTCAGGTATGCGGACATCAGGAGCGAATTTTTTCAAGATGAGGACGAATAGAGTCCATACGCTGTCATTAAAATAGCCAAAAGTAGACTCTCTGAAGTCCGCGGAAGAAACCGAAGACTCCATAGGCCTAGCTGGCTAAAATACGACAGTGAACTGAGACTTTAAGCGTGTCACAAAGTAACTCCCAGATATTGTTTCACATTTGAGTGACTGATATTTAACTCACTCGGAGAGTAAGAACTGGAACTATGTCCATACTTGTCAACCACCATAATCCTAGACGTCTCGTAGCCGATAGGGATAAGGTTTTCAGCAGTCCAATTTGGGATTTCCATAATGTCTTTTTGGAGGACCGAAATATCTGTTGGCACCTGTATTTCCCTCCAAATCTTCGGGCCATCGGCGTATCATGGTGAATGATGATTGAAGGATCCTGGTGGGTCACTGATGAAAGCAAGAAACAGTAATGGGTCCAGAGCAAAGCCCTGAGGAACACCACTCACCTTCGATAACAAGTAGAATAAAGGGGAGCCAACTTTAACTAACCGCAACTAAACTTAAAGATAATCCCAAAGCCAAATTGGTAATCTTCAATGTACATCCACAAGCCGAATAATCTTATATGGGATATCATGACAAACACTGTCAGAGACCATACAAGAGTCAGGTAAACCTATCCGAATTGGCTTTTTCGGCCAGAAAGAAGGAAACCAGTTAGTCCAAGCTATTAAGAAGCGGGTGTTACAATACCTTCCACGTTGAAAGACATTTGAGATTGAGATTGTAGCGTCACACACTCCCCCAAAATCAATAGCCTGGGGTACGATGACATTCGACACTCATGCTGACCTTGACAGTTTAACTGGACTCGCTAAGCTAAAGGCACCCGGTCAAGCATCCTCGCCATTTGGCACGCTGTCGTGTCACGTTGCACTGCTCGCACTCGACTCTAGCCAGTTAGTTGGGACGCATCGGTATCTTGGTACAACCATCCAAATATAATATTCCATCCGACTACACTATCGTGTTCCTCCTCAGTCTCGTATTCGTGAGTATATAACGAGTCCGAATAATTAGTGATTGGTCTTTGCATCTGTCAAGTTCACACCAGGACAAATCCTAAATTGGTGAGCCCGACGTGGTAACATATCCCGACCAATAACAAATATTGAATTGGTGAGCCTGTTCCATTTTATATTTGTATATTGTTTTCACTTCGATAACATTTATATATCCATTTACTACACTTTCTCATGTCCAACCACACTCCCAAGCTTATTCGTATTAAGCCGACTACGAACACAATCCAACTCGTGTCATATTGGCCAGACAATGCAAAAACATGGTTTCTGTATGTCGAGGCAGATTCTCGAGAACAGGGCATCTCAGATCCTCATTCTCGATTTCTTGCTGTCATACGGTCACTACCGCGGGAATTAAACAGGTATGTTACAGCGCACATGTTTAATCCTGAAGTAAGTGATCTTTATGCACTTCTTAAGGCCGCACCCTTGAAGAAAAGCGGTCTGACAGATCGCCAGCGCCTAGACGAAATACTTCGTAACATCGAGCTAGGCAGCCATTCAGCCACTGAAGTCATCGCACGCATACGAGAAGTAATCGGCGCACGAACATCAGACAATGGTCTTTTCCGAGAACTATTTCTCTCAAAACTACCACAACCAGCGCAAACCGTGTTGGCGGCACTGGCAGTCTCGGCAGATAAAATACTGGAGATTTCTAGCAGACCCGTCTCCAACGTATATTCCGTCTGTGATAAACCAGAGAGCCAGGATTCCGAGGTGACCAAGCTGTGCAACTGTTAAACAGTTGCTACTATCTCGAAGTCCTATCTCACGAAGAACTCCACAGAAATGAGTCTTATCGCATCGCAGCAACTCGCGTGGTTGCCCAAAAACTAAACCTATCAGGGTTAAGAAATCTAAATGTTGTGAGTTTCATGATCATTTCGGAGACGAAGCCAGAAAATGTCGGAAACCATGCAGTTTTAAGAAGGACACAAACTCGGGAAACGATCACGTCGGCACGTGCTCACGGCAACCGCAGCCAGCGGAAACAGCCGTTTGCTCTACGTCATGGATATTAAAACGAACGTTCGCTACCTCATCGACACCGGTGCAGAAGTCGGCATTCTCCCCGCGCCGACAAACCAGCCTCATCATGACCCATCCTTCAATCTCCAAGCAGCCAACTGCAAGGCAACCGCGACATTCGGGAGACAGTACGCCTACCTCAACTTAGGTTTGCGTAAGCCCATCCACTGGATTCTCCCCCTGGCTGACATTTCTATGCCCATCATTGGCATAGATTTGCCAAACCATTACGATCTACTCGTAGATGCTCACCGTCGACGTCTGACAAATAAAAACACGAAGTTATCCATTGGCGGCACCACCCATGTAGGTCCGAGTTTAGCCATCGTTAGAACCAAACAATTAAGCGACGCGTCCTACCAGGCAGTTTTGGAGAAATATCCAGAGTTGCAGCAACCGAAGCACACTCTTCCGTGCATAACCAGCAATGTTATGCATCACGTGACAACCACAGATCCACCTGTGGCATCCACAGCGTGCAGCCTAGCCCCGATAAGCTCAAAACGGCTATGAGTTGATTCGACCACATGCTGGAACTGGGCATAATCAAACCGTCAAACAGTCCTTGGGCATCAGCATTGCACATGGCCACCAAAATGGGTAGAAACGACTGGCGTCCAACCGGCGATTTCCGAGGGCTTAACGCCAGAACAACACCGGTGGATAGCCCAATTATCAAAATTCTTGACGATGTGCCTGGTAATGCACAGTTACAACAGCCATAGGCGCAACAGAAAACATGATCAGTTAGAACCGTCAGGTCCTCGGAGTATTTGAAGTCGTATTCAACTTAGTGGTGTGAAATAAGATGTGCCAACCACTTTTTTAATTCGATTTTTTGGGGGCACCATTTTTCTTATTTACCGGCAATGCGAAACCCCTCGTACATTTTGCCTTTTTATATCAATTTTTTATTATCATGTAATGAAACCTTTTGAAAAAACGGTATATTTATAAGTACATAATTCCCGTTTTTACGAAGCGTTTTCGTGGCATTAAAGACTTTTGTTTATATTCCAGGTGCAACGAGCACTGGACGAAACGTCAAAGGAAACTGAGGCCCGCGATCGACGTACAATTCGATTTATTGTATTTTATTTTCTAATTGCCTCGACACCCTAGAATAAGTTCAGATAACCAGGGGCCACTTCACACAGTGAGCCCATCGGAAGAGTTTTACCAGTGGAGAAGCCACTGGGTTTTTACCTCCGGCTGGTGTCGTCTTAGGGGCCTCAGGAACCCACTGAGAGGGGAGTGATCCGTAGCGCCACACACACCCCCAAAATCAGTAGCCTGGGGTACGATGACATTCGACATTCATGCTGACCCTGACAGTTTAACTGGACTCGCTAAGCTAAAGGCACCCGGTCAAGCATCCTCGCCATTTGGCACGCTGTCGTGCCACGTTGCACTGCTCGCATTCGACTCTAGCCAGTTAGTTGGGACGCATCGGTATCTTGGTACAACCATCCAAATATAATATTCCATCCGACTACGCTATCGTGTTCTTCCTCGGACTTTTAGTTCGATAAGTGGGCTTTCCGCATAACTACTTGCTGTTTCATATTACAGAAGAAACACATGGTTTCCAGTTCGTTTTAAGCTCAATTTTTATATTAGATATAGATCGTATTTCTGCAAGTCACAGTGGGTTTGAAATCAAATAATTACTTGATTCCAAATCCGCTGTGACTTGCACAAATACAACCCATGTCTAATGTGAACCTTTTACTCAGTGTCTAATATTTGCCCCACCATACGATCAAATCTAGATCGCAGTTCATACGCATCAATTTTTTTATTTCACGTATGCAGCGAAATTGAAGACTGTATAAATTTTTAATTCTTCTGCCGTTTAAGTAGGCCGTAACTTGCAGTAATGGTAGAATCATTAGCGCTGTTGAGGGGTGACGAAATACTATCCTTTTCAGAGTTAATTTTTTTACAAGCAAATAAATCTCGAGTGAGGTCTTTACAGTGCTCACTTCTTTTGAGAGTAATCACCACGTTGCTATCAGCCATCAACATAGAGAAGAAATTCAGAAGTGTCCTGCAGAGAAAACCCATTTGCACTGGTGAGGAACAGAGGAGGTCTGCAAACCCAACCCCAGGGGATTCCACTTGGGCATCTCGTTTCTTTGAATATGACAGAATTCATTCAGACCTCTAGGGTGTGGTCACTGAAAAGGATGGCGGTCAGCAGACTAACGGCTAACCTAGGCTTGTTGGCGAGATAGTTATAACTCACGCGATCAAGAACCCTGGAAAAATTGTCCATTTTAC